AACGCGTCAAAAAGATAAAAGCTCCACATCGCAATTACCATATAGACAACAAATTTTTCATGAAACTTAAATATCATTAAATATACATATATATATATGGAATATTAACAGCCTGTCTTTTTTTAAGTTAAGAATATAAAAATCGTTATTTAATACCATATTGCCAAAAAGTTGAAATTAATTGGATTCATATGTAAATAAACATAGATGATTATATTGACACGAATTATGTCGATTTATTTACCTTGATCCTAACCGCCTTACATGACCGTGTGCTCTAGGGCAACTATATGTTCTGCCAGTTTTCCATTATGATTTAATTGAGGAAGACTATCAGGCCTTTTACTCTATTCTAATCTCACAATGAATGATAAGACTGCATCAGAAGCATTCATTAAGGTTTTGGAGTCGTCCTTTGTAATATTTGAATTAGATTGACGACGATTTTAAGGGGTTTCCCATATCTAAATTTTGTGTTTCACCTCGCTATGAGTATTACCTAGAATCTGTGCTTATACCCAACGGCATGATAAAGGATAGGTTGGATATTATTTAGTTTTGATTAACAGAATTGAAAAACTTGCGCTTGATATTATTTCAGGCTTTGAAGATCTCGGTGCTACATCAATCGCGATGATGTGTGTTTTAAAAGGCAGCTTCAAATTTTTTGCAGATCTTACTGAATGCATTGAGCGAGCCCTAAGAGCAAGGAGAACCACTCTACCTATTTCAATTGATTTTGTTCGAACGAAGAACTATCTTGTGAGTGCTTCCATTATATTTATTCCATAAAAGAACGCTGAGTCGACGGGCACGGTCAAGTTGACTGGTGTGGACGATGAGTCGGCTTATAAGAATAAGGTTTCTCATTACACACTTTCATAGTTGGATTTTAGAACATTCTTATCGTTGAAGATATAATAGAAACTGGAAAAACAATGCAAAATCTGATGCCGTACCTCAAAACTTTAGAGCCTCAGTCCGTCCATGTCGCCACGTAAGCATATCACTAGCTTTATCATTACGCACCATATTACCTAATCATAAACTGACCACTTTTCTCTTCAGCTTGTTGGTCAAGAGAACCATTAAAAGTTCAGGATTTCAGGCCGATTGTAAGCCTTTGTTCGTGTCTTGGTATCTAATGCGTTCAAATATTTGGCTAACCCAAGGGCTTTTTAATAAACTTAAGATATTCTCAGCATGTCTTTAAAGGATCAGTCTGTATTAGTTTAAATTTTTTTCCCTTTCAGATACCGGTTTTGAAATTCCCGATCGTTTTGTTGTTGGCTACGCTCTCGACTTCAATGAATACTTTAGAGATCTTCACGTAAGTACATTCTTAGAGCAGGAATTTTGGGTCGCATTCCCTTACACGAACCCCGGCATGCAAATTTATCGTGCTATACCCTATCAATTGTTGACATGTTTTTATTTATTTTCGCAGCATATATGCGTCATCAACGAAGAGGGGAAAAGCAAATATTCGCTGCCCGCATGACGCTTCATCCCGATCTGTATCAGACCTTCAATCCGTTTTATCCACTGTTCGCCGGTACACATTTTTTCAAATTACTTCCTGCAACCACATGCTAAATGATCCGAACTTATCAACCCTAATTTTCCATAGATTAAACATTGCTTTTTTTTGGCTTATCATATGATTTGTTGTCTACTCTCGATAGCCATCCTTGTATTTGCAGTTAAACTAGGAAAGTTGTCGCTCATAGGTAAAACAAGCAAAATTGGCCTGACTTACTTCCGTCTCGCGTTCGTTTCATACTTATTTTCTGAAATAGCTTTATATCCTTAACGTAAGTTCATTAGCCCCTAGGCCATTTATCTGAAGAAAAAGTGAAATTTTTAGGTTTCGATTGATTGCGACCTTATTATTTCTTTTAAAAATGTATAAAATATATTGTGCATAACCGAATGCACGGGCATGAGGAGTTTGACAAAGTAACGATGTTAGAGAATATAAGACACAAACCGGGAACAATAGTATCGAGACCTGTCCTCAGCTGAAGATGAAATAATAAGGATAGTGACGGGGAGGGCAAGACCCCTGCAAGACGGGCCTTTTAGCTCCGAATAAAATAAAATAAATTCAGGAAGTTGAGGGTTAGAAACAAGGAATTAAGGGAGTTTTAATGGCAACAATTTCATAGGACTGAAGTATCTGAGTTGCATGAAGCATTATCTACACTATTGGGCATTTGCATAAATAGAAGAGATGGATAGAAGATAACTGTACAAGGATAAAAGGTTTCCACTGGCTCAGGTGCGGTGGGCATATGTCCACAAATAAGGTTAGTTTTGACCTCCACCAGACCTGGGCGACTGTTGTTGGGGTTCCTGCTGTTGCGAATGGTGATGGGCGTGTCCCAGTGTATGTGTACGACGCTGCTGTTGCATGGAATGGAATTGGTCGGCTGTTTGTTGCCAGCTAGCTGGCCGGCCTGTAGGAAGATAAACAGACTGATGAGCACTTCCTTGGGGCAAATTGAGATCGCCGATCCGGCGAGATGCAGTGATAACTGAGCTCGCTCCGGTGCCTGTGATCAGAGGAACGGCGCGCATCACTTGGCTTGGTGCATGCTGCTGTTGGAGGTGAGGATGGTGCTGAGTTTGATGAATAGCGACTGTTTGCCGCCCAGAGGGATTAAGTAGACCGGGCGTCAATGTCTGTCCGACTAAACGAGCCGTCCCGCTCATTTGAGCCCCTGCGGTGTTGCCTACTGAACCTGGAGTGAGTGTGGCAATGCCACCTGGGCCGACAACTGCACGAACGAATCCACTGCCAGACGCTCCGCCACTACCGCTGGCAAGCATTGCGGGCTGGACAAATTGGCCACGGACCATCTTATTTGATATAAAGAAAAAGAAGCGGTGTCTAAACACTGGACATGGAAATTAAGGACATTTTATTAAGTTCTTAATAAGCAGTAGCACCGAACATATGAAAGGGTAAATTTTAATTTGGAATCACTATGATTATTTAAGAATTAGATAATAGTAAATGCTTTTCCTGTCGAAGCAGTGAGCTTAATGAGCGAAGCGATGAGTGGATAGTGCGTTGAACAGTTTCGTTTTACGGACTAGGTAAAATAACGGCAAAGGAGTGTCCCAGATTTAGTTAGCGAATACCACTCAGAGAAATCAACCACTATTAAAAATATTGCGAAAAAATACGCGAGACATTTTCGTAGGTGGTTGAATCGTAACCTTTAGGTATAAGAATAAGAATTCCGTCTTTTCTAGGAAAACTTGTGTTGATAAATCTGTGGAGGGATTATGATATCCAATTGCCAAAAGTACTCAGAGGACGAGGATCATGTATTCGCTAAGTCGTAGATATGCTAATGTCCATAAAGGCCAAAACACGTACCATTTACTTCTGGGATCATCGTTAAAGCCACTAGTGGCTAAATCCTACGAATGGACTTAGTTAAGAATGAATAAGCCTCATTTTGTATGTAAACGTGATTGGAATGGATTTCCCAAGAGCTCTAAATAGTAGGGCCCTTCAAATCATACAATAACTTCGAAATAATGTAGAAACCAAGGGATCTATTGCTTTAAGTGCTGAGCAAAGATAAGATTAACTTATTCTAAAGATGTATATGAAATAAAATTTATGGAAGCAAATAAGATCAAAGGGTAAATTGTCATGATAGTATAAGTTATCATAATCAACAGATAGTCGATGCTTGCTTGGTGTAAAGCATAAATAACGCGTTAAGCCATTAAAGGCTCATTGTTAATATGTATAAAAATT